TTAGAAATATATTTTTGGATGATTGGAGCGACGAGGTAGCTGTATGTAGCTTCGGTTGGATGAAAACTATCCCAAAACACGAACTTGTTGGGATCATTGCAGGTCTTCACGAATTTGTTACAAAGAAACGTCACCTCGATCTTCCCACTTCCACAACACCCTCTATCCGCAACGTCAAACCCTAAAATAATAACAATTACGAACGTTTTCAGCTTTTCAAATCGTTCGGTTAAGCTTGTGCACGATTTGCTATTATTTTCAGTAGAATAGTCATACGAGCGTCTACACTAATTTTCAGTAGATGGAGAGGGAGAGATGATTGAATACCATATTTACGATAGTTTTGGATGACGTCAAGAAGAGGATTGTAAATATCCACGTAAATTAGTTTACTGTTAGGCAGTGAAGTTTGAAGTTGATTCAAAGCGATGTGCAATTTTCCATTGAAGAGCTCTGCAGCAGCGTTGTACTCATTCACGCACACCCTTTCAATCCCGCCAGCCAAGGTTCTTTGCGACGGCACACACCCCAACGGCGGTGCCCCGAAGAATCCGATTCTCCGCCCACCGGTTGCATACAATTCCTTTAAAGAAAATAAACACATTAAAATTTAGATGAAAAAGATGTGGTCCTCTTTCGACTTTCCTTGCTTCTACTCGGGAGAAGTTTCCATATCCTTATAAGAAACGTTCCCCTCTCCAACCGATGTAGGATCTCACAATCCACTTCCCTTCGGGGACCATCGTCCTCATTGGCACACCGCCCGGTGTCTAGCTCTAATACCATTTGTAACAGCCCAAGCCCATCGCTAACAGATATTGTCTTCTTTGGGTTTTCACTTCTGGGCTTTCACTCAAGGTTTTAAAACGCGCCTACTAGGAAGAGGTTTCCACACGAACGTTCCCCTCTCCAACCGATGTAGGATCTCAAAATCCACTTTCTTTGGGGGCCTAGCGTCTTCGCTGGCACTCCACTTGGTCTCTAGCTCTGATACCATTTGTAACAGCTCAAGCCCATCGCTAGAAGATATTGTCTTCTTTGTGCTTTCACTGGGCTTCCACTCAAGGTTTTAAAACACATCTGCTGGTGAGAGGTTTCCACACCCTTATGAGAAATGTTTTGTTCCCTTCCAATGCATACAAACTAAATATTTTTTAAATTAAAAAATAGAAATTGAATATAAATATGAAAGTCGAGAGACTAAACTTTGTACCTTAGCAAAAGCGGAAGCATACCGAGCCATGAAATCAGTGTACGAGTTGATATTGAAATGAATTTGCCTTATTCTTGCAAGATAAAATGTGTTGGCAATGTCGTTGCTTCCCGCCACCACCATGAACAAGCCATTGGCTATTATGAACTTTGCTCTTGCTACTCCCACTAGTTCTTCTAGCTTCTTTGAGTATTCCCTAAACATGCCTAATTGATCTTCAAGTGATATTGCTGGCTGAAAATTCAAGAACCCGTTTAGCATATCATTCAAAATATCGTCCCGTGTTCAAAGTTTATTCATTACCGCTAATCGAGAGGTCAGAGGATCAAATCCAGCACCACCAGAAGCAAAATTGACACCCGTAATTAGGTCTTCGGGCCGTAGACTCGGGTTAGCATACGGTGGTAAAAATTCTTTGATACCCAACGCATCAACTAACAAAACAAACAAAAAGAAATCGATAACATTGGTCCAAGCCATGTAACCGAAAAAAATTTGAACCTCTACAATTTAATCGAACGGGTTAGTTTAGACCTAGAAGGTCGGAGGGAACTCTGCCATTGGAAAATCGCCCGGTTGCCTGTTGACCGAGAAAATCCCTACCGTACGGCGGATAGTTGCACTTAGCTTGAGTGATGAGATTGTTATTGTTGCCTGTATCGACAACTGAATCCCCGAACACGAAAACCGCGGGGACCGAGTAACCGGGAGGAATGTTTATAGTAGCACTAGCTAGTTGAAGACAAAGGAAAAGCTTGACTGCTATTGTGAAGTGGAGTAAAGGCATTGTTGTTGTGTAGTTCAGCCATTATTCTGGGAAGGTATTTATATATGTATGAGGTGCCTTCCAAATTTAATGCTTATAATGAAAAGCCGGTGGAAACGTGGCAGATTTGGATTGGAACACACCGCGTTCGTGGCCCACCGCTTCTATTTTTGTATTGGATTTGGATCTATCGGGATTGACGGGAATTGAACCTACAACTTTTGTTTTGATAGAACGGTGTTTTGACCGATTGAATTATAGTCTCGAGAACCATTAGGTAAGTTTCATATATTTTTCTAAACTTTGAAAATTTTCTGTTTATGCTTAACGCTAGTAGATATTGTCCTAAAACACGTTTTAAAGAGGTTTCCACACCCTTATAAGGAATGTTTTGTTCTCATTTCCAACCAATGTGAGATCTCTCGATCCACCTTCTTTGGGAGTCAACGTCCTCCACTAGGGGTGTACATGGTTCGGGTTGAAGGATTTTTTTGACCCAACCCAAAAGTTCGGGTTGGTTGGATTGGTAACCCAACCCAACCCTCTAAAACGTACCCACAACCCTACCCGAAATGCTAATCCAACCCAACCCTTATAGTTCGGGTTGGGTTGGTCTGGGTTGTTGGGTTGAATGTACACCCCTATCCTCCACCTCCCGTGAGGGTTTGACTAAGTGAACTACAGTCTCGAGAACTCTAATGTAAGGGTTTCGACACCCATATAAGGGATATTTTGTTCTTTTCTTCAACCGAGGTAAGATCTCTCAATCCGCCTCCCTTGAGGGTTAGCGTCCTCCACCTCCTTTGGGGTTTGACCAATTGAACTACCGTCTCGAGAACTCTAGTGTACATGTTTCCACACTCTTATAAGGAATGCTTTGTTCTCCTCTCCAACCGACGTGAGATCTCTCAATCCATCCCCTTTAGGAACCCAACGTCCTTGCTGGCACACCACTCGATGTCTGGCTCTGATACTATTTTTAACCATCAAAAGGAATGCTTTACTTTATTATTATTATTTGTTTATTTATGTTTATTATTATTTATTTTTTTTGGTAGAATATGCTTTTAATATGTATCTCATTCTATTTATTATTTTCATTTAATATCCCCCCACCCCACTGTATTAACTAACACCAAACATGAAATAATAAATAAAAATTTAATATATTTAATAACTATTTTTTTTAATTAAAAATTTGTGTTAAATTTCTTATAATTTCTCTATAATAGTTTCGTATTTCGTAACAAAGTATTTGAACGTTTTGCAAAATTCAAAAAATAAAAATAAAATTTTGAATAAAGTTATACACGAGTTGGACTGGAAAATTCTTTTGGCTGGTGACTCACAGGACCCGGACGAGGGTTAAGTTGTGAACTCTATTCAAATTATCACCAACTGAACCAATTTGAAATTTCAAGTTGGTCTATTATTGAACTGTTGTGTTCGTGGTGGTTACGTGATCTTAAATAATTTGTGGTCTCACATTTATGAGATAATGAGTTGGCCCTTTCTCGTTTATGATATAGAAGATTTAATTCATATTATTATTTAAAGCGGTACCATCTTCCCTAGCTATTCAATAGTCATATAATCATGGCATGATCGATCAACGATCATGTCGTTAAGCGTTTGTTTGAAGTTACTAACTTGAGCACGTATAAATTAGAGATTTACCAATATGAACATAGCTCAATTGACTTAGATACATATTCACTAACTAAGAGGTCAGATGTTCAAATTCTCTACCTTTATATGTCGTTGAATTCAAATAAAAAATGTTAGATGTTCGAGTTATAACTCGGGTTTCACGTGTTGAGCTAAAGGAAGAGTAACTATCGGTCTTTGATCTTCCAACTTTGGATGCTTTTGGTGTCGTAGAGAAAGACAATATTTTGACGGTAGCCCATGTGGTAGGTTGGGCATTTAATTTAAAGTTTCCTTCTAGTTAATAAAAAAATACGTGTTTTTTTATAACTCTTTCGAAATTTTGAATGCAGTTTCTATTAGTGTTCATATGGATTCATAACGATTTGGTTCGTAATGTTCAAATTTGATTTTAGATTGGTCATTAAAATTTGAAAATTAAAAACGATTCATAAATAGCTTTTTAAGTAGAGTTGTCACACCCGAGTAAAGAAGAAGATACATGAATGAAACGAGACCATATCCGAATGAGAGGATAGTTAAGAAAGACGTAAAAGAATTGAAAGTCACTATCTATACCGGTCATGTGCACTTTCCTTTTCCATGACTTAATCTTAGGAACTTCATGATTAAATATGTTTTACTTGGAGCAATTCTATGTTAGGTGACATCCTAGGAATTTCATGTTTTACTTGGAGCAATTTTATGTTGGGTGACATCCTAGGAATTTCGTGTTTTACTTGGAGCAATTCTATGTTGGGTGACATCCTAGGAATTTCATGTTTTACTTGGAGCAATTCTGTATTAGGTGACCTCCTAGAAATTTTCCTCAGATACATGTGAGCGAGCACAAAACATCTTGGAAGAAGAACTCGTGTTAGTTTGTGGAAAAATAGGTAACCTAACTAGTAGGTAACAAGAAGAACTCATGTTAGTTTGTGGGAAAATAAGTAACCTAACTAATAGGTAATAAGAAGAACTCGGGTTAGTTTGTGAGAAAATAGGTAACCTAACTAATAGGTAATTTTTTAAACTTTTTATTTTATATTTTTATATTTTTATATTATATACATATATATATATATATATATATATATATAGAAAGTAAAGGATATTAACGCTACTTTCAACTCAAGTAACTCAAGTATGTTAGTATGTTGAGAACGGGGGAGTAATTTTTCTTAATTTTTTTTTTAAATTTAGAGATATTTTTAAAATAAAATAAAGTATATATATATATATATTTATTATTAATTATTAATTATTAATTATTAATGTATATATATATTTAAAAATTTAGAGAAATTTAGAGATATATATATATATATTTAATTAATTATTAATGTACTCTAAATTAAATTAAGAGTTGAAAAAGGTAGGAAAAACAAAATCTTAATTTTTCCCGGTAAGCAACAGCCGATAGGCGAAAACCCAAGAACCAAATATCGAACTCGGGAGAATGATTTCCATTTGCTCTGCTAGAGCAATTCAAGCTGCACCTTCAATTCAGTTGTTTTTCCCTCGAAACCGTGGAAGAATCTCTTATGATGTTCTTCGAATCGCTACCAATCACTCTGTCAGATGCTCGGGTTCCGATGAGTGTGGTGATGAAACTCTTCCTGAACCGAGAACCAATTACGCCGGAATGAGACTGGAAGAGATCGTGGAGACAAAATCCGGTAAAGTTCGTCTTGATTCTTGGATATCCTGCCGCATCGACGGGATTAGTAGGGCTCGGGTGCAGTCCAGTATTAGGGCCGGACTGGTTTCAGTCAATGGCCGAGTTATCGATAAGGTAACGACGATTTTAGCTTGTACTCCCGAAGAACAACTGCATTTGACTCTTCGATTGTCTCTCTGTTTTTCATTTGGCTTCTTTCAACCATATATTTTATGCTCGAGCAGGCTTCTCACAATGTTAAAGCTGGGGATAAGATTAATTGTACAATTTCGGAATTGCAGCCATTGAGAGCTGAACCTGAAGATATTTATTTGGATATAGTTTATGAGGATGAACATGTTTTAGTGGTAAACAAACCGGCGCACATGGTAATGATTCAAGAGACGTTATGCCTCAAGTTCGATATTGTATGCTTAGTGGCAAGCTTGTGTCTGAAATTTGTAAAAGATTGTGATAGCGGTTTGATTTCTCCTTGATTCAGGTTGTTCATCCAGCTCCTGGGAATGCTACAGGAACACTAGTAAATGCCATTCTTAACCACTGCAGTCTCCCAATGGTTACAACGACAAATGAGGAACTTCTGTCAGACACGGATATTTCTGATGATGAGCTCAATTCCATTGAGATTTTATCTTCTAGAGTTTCTGAGGCACCTATTCGTCCTGGAATTGTGCATAGGATAGATAAAGGAACTAGTGGATTGCTTGTTGTTGCCAAGGTGATTTACTGTCCCTCCTTCAGCTTCCTTGCAGCTGCTTAACTCAAGATCAAAGCAAAACAATTCAAGTTTTGTGTTTCAAGAATTTGCAGCCCAATAGCTCCCCTTTTTTGTCCCCTAACTATATCTAACTCCTACGTTTGTTGCATTTGAATATCAGGATGAACATGCCCACGCTCACTTATCTGCTCAATTCAAGCAACATTCTATTGAGAGAGTCTATATCAGTCTCACATGTGGAGTTCCACCCTCAACTGCTGGACGTATCGAGGTACCAATAGGCCGTGATCCGAATAATCGTATTCGCATGAGTGCAGTATCTAGAACAAATAACAATTCAAATGCAAAGTACGCTGCTAGTAGGTAATTAGTTTTTCTTCGTCAATTATTATCATATGAAATGCAATTATAAATCTACTGGTTCTTGAAATGCTGTCTTCCCCATGTTACTACCCTCATTTCGTATTGGAGGTATTTTTTTATAACTGTGTACAGACAGGGTCTTTTTTGTATTCATTTCATCAGATTAATGAAATGGGTTCTGTTTCCTGTAAAAAAATCATCTACATATAAGGTCAGAACTAAAAGGTAATGACAATATACTTGTCATCATCATAAATTTGGATAACTAATATTTAGAAAGAAAACTCCACATTTCCGACAGACTGCTCAAACTCTTGGCTGAACTGGTTGTTTATATGAAGAGGTTAAGGTGGTGCTTCTAGAGACATTGTCATGTTGGTGGCTTAAAGGTAAAGCTAGGACTATTTGAAAGAATGCAACTTGAGCCATCCTTTGAAGTATATAAATAGAAAGGAATAACATAATTTTCAAAGAGAGTAACAAAGCAGTAAGCTTTGGAGTAAATAAATAGAAAGGAATTATAGAATGTTCAAATAGAGTGGTAAAATTTTGGTTGGGTGACTGTATAGTACACTGCCTCCTCATGTACCAAATTTCCATAAGAATTTTGATTGGGGTCCTGTACTCTTGTAATGGATCCCCCCTTGTGCTCTTCAGGAGGAGATGCCTCTTCTCCTTGCACATTTTTTGTATTCTCTTCTGAAAAAAGATATATTCATCTCTCCCCCTCAAACTAGTTTGCGAGATGCATCTCATCCAACAAAGTCATGCAAAATTTGGAAGAAGTAATCTCTGGGATTTTCATTTCCATCCTTGTCCCATCTCTCATTATGGTGACATCAATATGAATTTAAGGATTAGTGGAGAAAGATCTTTTGTTTTTTGTGTTTACTTAGTTATTTTTCGATTATAGAAACTATTTTAGTATTATTAAGCTTGGTCATTCATTATGCTAAGTTGAAATGGCGTACATTTCACAGGTACAAAGTTATTGAAAATTTAGCTCAAGGAGGTTTTTCATTGGTTGAGTGGAGATTAGAAACAGGCCGCACACATCAGGTGCGTATTGTAAACTTCTTGCTCTTTAAGTTTCTTCAAAGGGCTATAAATATATATTACAATCCATCTAACAATGCATTTTAACCAATCACCATGTATGCACGTGCAAAGACATATATATTCTTTTGTTTCAATAACATTTCTGTACGCTACTGCTTTTGTTTTCAAGTCATAGTGTGTGCATACGTACGCTAAACAATTTAATGAGTCAGAGTTACACCTTGAACGTACAAGCAGCCATATTTATCATGCCAAGTTGCAGTTCTTTCCACTTTCTGAAAATTGAAATGTAGTTTTTGAATATTTGTGAAGTAGATCCGTGCACATGCGAAGTATATGGGAATACCCTTACTTGGAGATGAGGTCTATGGAGGTACCAAGAGCATGGCCATGTCGCTGCTTCGGACTCGAACATCATCTAGTTGTCACAGCCAACTTATGCAACTTGTTTCCTCATTAGAGAGGCCTTGCCTTCATGCTCTAACTCTCGGGTTAGAAAATAAATTCTTAAGAGCTCGTTTAGTTACATTCCTTTCTTGTTCTCTAAAATAGTTTATAATTTTGGTTTCTTATTTCAAAGTTTTTAAAACTTGATGGAGTTTCTATTTTTCTTATTTTTCGCTAATAATTAACCAAAACATTGGTATGACATATATTTGGGATATCTTGTTAAATTTTCAGTTAAAACTTCCACATTTTAAAAGAAAATTTTTAGAGAAAGATAAACAAGAATGATTGCTAATCACAGTCTGTTCTTTTTTAAACTAAAAGGTGAGTGCAAAAGCAAGAATTGTTATAAAATTTTGTTTTTTTTTATTTCTTATGATAAAAGAGCCAGAAATAAAAAGTGAGAAACAAGAAACAAGATCGTAGTATGAGTCTTGGATTGTTCTTTTCTTCTGTAAACAACTAATCCAAGATCACTGAACAATTTGTAGGTTTATACATCCTCACACAGGGAAGAACATACGATTTTCATGCCCACCCCCTACAGATTTTGCTGAAATTCTGGGTCAGCTTCGTCAAATTAGCACAAAAAAGGTATCTCTCAAGTATTGATGAATTCTGTTATCTTTTACTCAACCCAAGCTCTTTTCATGGTGATTAGTGGTTTTACGGATTTAGCATTTTATCCATAAAATAGAACAATATCAATCAAGAATGGTCCGGGGGCTACGATTTACACACCCAACCTACTTTATGGATAACCTAGATAGCTAATTCGTGCATTTGTGCCTCTTTTTTGGTCGCCTCCTTGACACGATAGTTAATACCATGTCTTTTCTATTTCCTAGCCATGTGGTACCTGCTTCTTGCGTTTGAATGTCTATTTTATAGGTTACTTTCCTTTTGTACTTCATCTCTTACTTATGAAGTCGACTGAACTTAAAAGAAAATCAAGTTGTTTAATGAATGAGTGAGGATTTAGTCATACATATTCAAAGTTTCGAATGGTTTTTTGAGATCCCACATCAGTTGAGGAGGGGAACGAAACATTCCTTATAAGGGTGTGGAAACCTATCCCTAGCAGACGTGTTTTAAAACCTTGAGGGGAAGCTCAGAAGGGAAAGCCCAAAGAGGACAATATCTGTTAGTGGTGGGCTTGGGCTTGGGCTTGGGCTATTTCAAATGGTATTAGAGCCAGTCACCGGGCGGTGTGCCAGCGAGGACGTTGGGCCCCCAAGGGGAGTGGATTATGAGATCTCACATTCGATTGGAGAGGGGAACGAAACATTCCTTATATAAGTAGGGAAACCTCTCCCTAGCAGACGTGTTTTAAAACCTTGAGGGGAAGCTTAGAAGGGAAAGTCCAAAGAGGACAATATCGGCTAGCGGTGGACTTGGGTTGTTACAAATGGAATTAAAGCTAGTCACCGGGCGGTGTGCCAGCGAGGACGCTAGGCTCCCAAGGGGGAGTGGATTGTGCGATCCCACATTAGTTGGAGAGGAGAACAAAACATTTCTTATATAGGTGTGGAAACCTCTCCCTAACAAACGCGTTTTAAAACTTTGAGGGGAAGCTCAGAAGGGAAAGCCCAAAAAAGACAATATCTGCCGGTGGTAGGCTTGAGCTGTTACGATAGATATAATACAAAAACTAAAGAGCAGACAGAAAACATGAAGTCTTCCTTCCAGTCGCCTCTTATATGTAATATGAATATAGACACTTTATTTTATCGCATTTGTAGCTATTCCGGATAATCTACACAAAAGATATAATTGGGTTCATAAGCTTAATTTTAAAGATTATTCTCGAAACAAATTCCCTGAAAAACATTGAACTCTACATCATGAGGCAATTTCATATCGTATCTCATTGTTTAATCTCTTGTAGTCCTAATACATAGTACACATTGAAATAATTTTGAGATTTACAACCACATTAGCTATTGAACAATGGTTGCTGCCATAGAATTTAGGCGGGAGAGATGGTTTTTGCGGTGTATCAGTTTAACCATTAACAGAGTGTTGTGATTAAAATTGCAGGTTACCAAATCTTAATTGGGATCCTTCAGTATCTAGCATACACACTCAGCGTCAAACGACTCGGGCATGAAAGACCGAGAAGGTACATTTGGCCCTAATATACGACCATTTAAGTTGGGACGTTTGGAAAATAAATTGAAGTTTTTGGTAAATGACATATTTTTGGTTGGTGTTCTTGGAAATTCAACACTGCTAATTTGATCTGATATGAACAGGGAATGTTCCTAAACTCAATATCCCAATATCGAAATCGAGGCATAGCAGCACGCAACAATGGCATTAGAAATGGAAACGACACACCGTATCGGTACACTTGATGGTGCTTCTACAGTCGAGATGATCGTGTTGCTTGTGTTGAACATTCGCCTAATCGCCATGTCCAATGGAACCTCATGTTTCACTTAGTATTGATGGTAAGCCAGCCACCATTGCTATTAATCCATAGGAATGTAGTCGAATATTCATCGTCATTCAATTGGAAATATATTTGAAAGACATGATTGCAGTAAATTGGGACTCCCTTGAGTGAATTCAAATTAGGCGCTATGAACGTTATGAACATTCCAAGTTACGACATCCCTTTGTAAGGTTCTTTATCTCGGGGTTTAGGAATTAGGGTATGAAATGTTTTTCTCGGTGGAAAGATTCAAAATTTATGACATCTTAGTCGAGGTTATATACATAACGGTGACCTGTCACATCTTGAATCATACTTCAAAGTGACACCAAACTTAAACCATAATAAACAACTCATCACAGAATAGTATATAATAGTGACCCGTCATACACCAAAATCCCACCATTAATTAGAAACTAAACTTCCAAACCCTCAAACTCAATAAGTAACACGAACTCCTTGATATCTAAGAATCTCACCAATAAGCTCTCCTTTACCCGACCCGACGTACCTCCCTTTAATCTCTCCATCTCTTATGAACAAAAACGTAGGCACTTCGACAACGTCCATGTCTTTCAAAAACTGCATACAGCTCTCGTTCTCATCGCCGTTCATTCTAGCGAACACCGCCGTGTCCATTTTCTTCGACAACTTGATCACTGTGGGATAGACTTTCACGCAAGGTCCACAATGCTTCAACCCCACGTCCAGTACAATCAGCTTGTGATCCTCCTTGTGGTCTTGTATCAGTTTCTCCACATCCTCCCTGCTGTGTAGCTGAACAACTCCTGAATGGCTGTCGCCGTAGTATAATACGTCGCCCTCCAGCTGATCCGGCCCGATCCCTTCCTCCTCGTGGATCTTCTCCATGTTCTTGTAGAAGCTGGAGGGCGAAAAACGATACTTTCTTAAGCGATTTTAGAACCTAGGAAGCGTTTTACTTTAAAGCTAAACTCATCTCTAAACTTGATCCATGCACGTATTCTAATCACCGTTACGTTATCTCACGTCATTTTTAATAATTTTTTTTTGTGAAAAATTATTCTTTATTTAGAATTTAGCATATCTTAAAAGTTAATTAATATAATAATTTTATTAAATTCAATAAAATTTAGATATTTAAAAACCAAATAAATTATAAATTAATTACAGAATTTTACCTGAAGTGAGGAACCTTTTCGATTTTCTCTCTGTTACAGAGCTCTTTGGTTTGCTCCGATTCATCGCCCATCACCAAAATGAACTCCACATCGTTGCACGTTTTGCTGAGTGTCACCATGAACGGGTACATCCGGCTGCTCTGCGCGCTGTGTGAGGCGGCGAATTCCACCACAACCAGCTTGCTTTTGGCTTTCTTAAGGGCTTCATCGAACTCCTCCGCGCTGTGGACTTGCTGGACTCGCTCATCGCCGGTGGGTTTCTTCACGCTCGGAGCAGCGGTGGCTTTGATTGTGAAGCCGCGGCGGCGGTGGGAGAGGTGTAAATTTGAAGAGAAGGCGGTGGGTTTGATGAGATTGGGGAGGAGGGAAGCGGCGGAGAGGAGGCGGTTGTTGTGGGTGTGGAGAGAGAGAGAGGGTGGAGGTGTGGTGAGAGAGTGGGAGAAGGAAGCCATCGGAGTGCGGCGGAGAAAGGGAATAGAACAGGGGAGGCTCTGTTTCTGCTCTGCTCTGCTCTGAATTGCAGGGGATGGCTATGGAGTTATCAAGAAGATCTTAGTGAAGGGGGAGCTTTGGATGACCACACATTCTCTTTGTGGCTGTGGTTTGTTCAAATTGGATGTTTTTGAGATGATTTTTTTTGTTTTGTTTGTGGTAATATCTTTCGGAAATTTAAAGGAGGATATGTTGGGCTCGAAAAGCTTAGATTTATATTTCGGGACCCGTCATATGATTTGAGAACGTAGCTTTTTGAACTCTATAATAGAGCTCGTTTCAGAATGAAAAAAAGTAACCAATGATACCTCTATGGAAAATGGGTCGAGAATAGCACGGGAGTGAGACTATCTGTGTCACGACCCAAGTTTTGAGATTTCGAGAAATTGGATAACGATGTAAAGACGAAATTAAACACAAACAAAACAAAATAAGCGAAAAATACAGTAAATTTCACACCGTTCTAAGAGACATTCCATATTAGTACCTACCAAAAATTCTAAATTATTTAGTAAAAAGGTATTGATATATATATATATATATAATAATGATGAATACAAAATCACCCCTAAAAAGATTACAACTAACTGACACTTCCCTTGACATCTCTATGTGACAGTGGAGCTCCCCTAAAAGATTATAACTAACCGACACTTCAGGTTGACACCTCTATGTGACAGTGCAGCTCCCAAACACTTTCCCACCTCGACTGGAATGTGAAAAAGAAAGAAAAATGGGTGAGGATCGTAAGATCAGACATTGATTGATTCGAAAAAGGAACAAGTGTCAACAAGAACAGTGACCCCTAAACGGGGAGGATTGTGAGATCCCACGTCGATTGTAGGAGAGAACGAAACATTATTTATAAAGATGTGAAAACTCTCCCTAGTAAACATGTTTTAAAATTTTTTTAGAACAAGTCGGAGAAAAAAAAGAAACGGTAGCAATAAACTTGAACGGTTATAAAAATAATAATAATAATTTATTTATTTATTTTTTAAAATGTTGAGCATTGTCGGAGCCCACACTCACTAATTAGTTGTATGTTCCCAAAGCTAAATTTCGTTGACCAGTAAATAACTTTTTTTTTAAATTTTAATCGTTAAATAATTTGGTCAACATTTCTCTCTTGTTTTTCCACGACAAAAATGAAGAACACCGACAATACAATTCAACCTAATACGGCGCCGTTTCCCTGTTCGGAGTACACGATATAAGTCTCAATCGCCGCCGTGTTAAACCCATTGAAATTGGACCCAGCCGCCGCCGTGTAAGCTCCCATCTTCGGCCAAACCAGCCAATCTCCAACTTCCAAATCTGGCAGCTGGTATCCTGTCAAAACAGTGTCCAATCCGTCGCACGTGGGGCCAAACACGGTGGTGCCGTACATTTTCATTCCGCCGCACGTGGGGTTTTTCCGGTTAGATTTCAAAGCCAACGGCGTGCAAGTCACCGTCGCGTGATCGTACAGTATACAGTTCATTGACCCGTAAATCCCGTCATTAATCCAATACTCCCGGTGATCGCCTCTTACCCTTTTTCCGATGACATTGACGGCCAGAGTGAACGCCGATTCCGCAAAATACCGACCAGGTTCAGCCATGACGGTGATATTCAGCTCCGCCGGAAAATACTCCTTCAGGGCTGAATTTATCGTTAAGGCCGCTTTTTCAAATTGGGGTCCGGCGGTGAACCCGCCGCCGATGTTGAGCACATTCATAGGCGAAAGGGCAAGTCGGACCGCCGTATCGAAAACCCCTCTCGCAGCGGCGATAGCAGAGGAATAAGCCCCTGTTTCAGCATCCCCACTTCCAATATGAAAAGAAACGCCAACGACGGCGAGATCAGCCGCTTTAGCAGCTTCAAGAAGAGGGATAATTTCTTCCGGCAATGCGCCGTATTTCTGTCCCAATTGGCACCGAGCGCCGCCATCTTCAGGCGGTTTGATCCGAAGCAACAGGGCGGTTTTCGGGTGGCAGGAACGGATTTTCTCGATTTCATAGACAGAATCAAAAGTGGTGAGATTAACGCCGACAGCGGCGGCGAATTTGATATGGGATTCCGGTTTACAAGGATTGGCGAAGACAATTCGGTCGGGGGAGACGCCGAGAGCTAAAATAGCTTGGATTTCGGATGTGCTGGCGCAATCAAAATTGGAGCCAAGGGCGGCCATGGCGGCGAGGAGAGCCGGGTTGGGGTTGCATTTGACGGCGTAGAAAGGGTGGACGGCCGGAAGAGATTGGGTCCAGAGGTTCATGAGGGCGGTGATGGTGGCTAAGTCGAAGATGTAGAAGGGTTCGTTGGGGTTGTCGGAGCTCAGGGCGAGGGATTGGAGGAAAGGGAGGAGGCCGTGTTGGGGAATCGGAGTAACGGATTTTGGGCTGAGGCCTAGTGCGGTTTGGAGGAGGAGGTGGTCGACGGCCATGGCGGCGGACAAGAAGAACACTTCGGGAATTGGAAATAGAGGAGGAGAAGAGCTCTATAAATACAGCCTAAATTATAAAATATAATATAATTAATTACAACTTTATTGACCGTTGGATTTGTTACAAAAATTTTAATTTTATTTAAAAATTTAAAACAACTTTCCATGTATTAATATTATATCTTTTTAAGATGGATAGAATTTTAAAAATTACAATTATCATGCACGTAAAAAGAGAATGTTGTCGGGAGTTGCTAGTCGGTGCAAAGTCGTAGGTGCAGGTCAGCTGCAGGGTTCTCAAGTCGAATTCGGGTCAGTTAGACTAGTTCGTGTGATGCATCTCCACTGATGCCTGATGCGTGTTCTCTGCAGCTTCGAACGCGTTGCACAAATTGAGAGTTCAGATCGGTAAATCTTAATTTTTTTTCTCTTCGAAATAGTCAATTATTGGTTGATGTGGATGGAAATTTTGTTAATGGGAGGAGAAACTTGCTTCCCACGCTACCAATTCATAGCATTCAAAAGCCAATTGGCCCCCAATTGTGAGTTTAATTCTTAGTCCAAAGGGGTGGTGGGCGTATTAGAATTGGGGTTCAAAGTTATGCCATTTTAGTCATATAGTGCCTAATATTCAATTGAATACAAGCTACAAAAATGGGAGACAGGAACCCAAGAATGGAAATTTCGAACTAACAAGACCAAAAAGTCTCAAACTACGTGCCGCACCCAACGAGTCTATCACGAAACCTTTTGGGTTTGAAAATTGATTCGGGATGGTGTGTTAGGCTCATCGAGTTTCATTTGATTTGGTTGTTTCTAGTCTGTCGGCGTTAAAATGTCCCTCCTCTAGGTTGGACTGAGGTGAGTTCGTCATTAGATGAAAGATCGTGGAAGTATGGAATTTTTATGTCTTACCCACTTCTATTGACTTTGATAGTTCCTTGGCTGTGAGATCTCACGTCAGTTGGAGAAAGAAAGGAAACATTATTTATAAGGGCGAGGTTCCTCTCCCTAATAGACGCATTTTAAAGTCGTG